TGCCGGGTCCTGGGCTAGTTGCATGAGTTGGCTGTTTGAATCCTGGGACCTATGCAGGGACGCTTGGCTCGGTCTGGAAGGGGCGGACTGGACCTGGCTGGACTGAGTCTACCAGGTCGATCCAGGTCCTCGGGGGAGACCTAGATCTGGAGGAGGTGGGAATGGGGGGTGGTGTGGGGGGAGGGAGAGGGGGGCGAGAGTGGGAGAACAGGGCAATCTGTGGCTATTATGTTGAAATAAATGATGTTGTAAAATAAATTTACTTAAAAAAATGTAAAAAAAATCAAAAAAAAAGATATAAAATCAGTCTTCACGATCAAATGTACTCTGATTTGAGTTTTGATGTAATTATGCCTCGTTGTTCATTAGGGTTTTGATTACACCAGTAATATTTTTTTTTTCAGAATTGTCTGTGTTTAAATTTGCTTGCAATAAGTGACCTGGTTTCAGACTTTTAAGAGTGTGAACTGGCAACTACTATGTCAGCCTGATCTGAGATTTCCTTGTTACTTCATGTGGGTCATTTCCCTGCACACAGCAAAGCTTTCAGCAGCCCCCAAAGGAAAAGGTGAGGACTGTGACCCTCAGTGTCCACTCACCTGTCACCACCAGCTCCAGGGGGTCACTGCGCTCTGTCCACCCTATAGATTTGTAAGAGTAACAGCGATATTGCCCTGCATGCTGCTTTTCCATGAATGCTATGAAGAACATGGCCTTGTTACCAGGACCTTTGGGAGTTTGACTGTCCCAGGGTGCTGAGCTTCCTTCTTTATACAGGAAATATATTTGGGTTTCCTTGGACCCCTCACACCAGATGGTCACATCATTGCCAGAGGCAATCACAGAGCTTGGTTCAGCCCACAAGGTGGGTTTCTCAAGGTTCCCTGCAGGGAGGTAGGTGAGAAAGAGATGGGACTTTGAACAGTTTCACAGTAAATGTCAAGCGTACTTCTGATCTTGAACTTTACTCCTTAATAGCAAAAGGATAAGTAAGGCTATGGGAAGACTCAGTCTCTCATGACCCTCCCAAGATCCATACTCACTATGCCTTTCCCTCGTTTTTATGCCATGACTCCCACAGTCTGCATGCAGTGTCAATTGTCTCAGGTGCCCTGGATCCTCAGACACATCACACAACATGGTTTCCATCAGGACCATGTGTCAGGAGCAATGTTTCTTCAGAGAGTCTGGAGGCTTCCTCACCTGAGACCAGGAGCTCCAGGGGTTCACTGGCTTTACACCACACCTGAGCATTTCTTGTGTTATAGACATGGCATCTAAATCTTCACCTTTGGTTGGAAGTCACTGGACCCACTTGGAATGTGGACTGGCAAGTCCTAATATATGAGTATTGTGAGCTGCTGAATTCCTGGTCATCCTTAGCTAAAATGAAACAGTTGTATCTCTGAGTTAAGATACAGGGGAGTGTCACAGACCCTCCTAAAGAAACAACAGGCTTATGCAGGGTTGACAAAGTTGGTTTGGAATAGATTCCTAGAAGAATTACACATGGAATATTAAAGGGGCTCACACCGTGTTAATTCTCCCCATGTCTGTCATTTGATGACAGATAGCATCACTACTGTCTTTTCTTGAGCATAACATCTGGGGCTAATATTTTTGAGTGTCCTCTCACCTGTCACCACCAGCTCTAAGTTGTCACTGAGCTCTGACCATCCCTCAGAGGTATAAGAGTAACAGTGATGGTGCCCTGCATCAGTTCAGTCATAGATGGAATGGTGAGTTTTGTCTTATTCTTGTGGACTCTTTGGAATGTGGTCCCAGGGCTCTAGGCTTCCCTCTTTATATATAACAAACATTAGGTTTTCTAGAGTACCCACACACCATAGGGTAACAGAACTCCCTATGGAGATCACAGAGCTAGGATAAGCAAAGATGGTGGGTTTATGAAGGGTCCCACCAAAGAATGAGAGGGAAAAGTGAGATGTACTGTTAGAAGAATTGCACAGAGAAGGTCACATTTGCCAGTGACATGTAAGATGATCTGCAATTGCAGGAGAACCTCACTTTTCCTTGGATCGTAGGCCCCACTGTTAAATAAACCCTAGATTTTGCACCTCAATTCAAGTTGTAACACAGATCTGTGACAATGATTTCAGTAACCCAGGCTCTTGATCAACCACCATACATCAGTCCTTTCCTGGGATCCTGTGTCAGTTACAATATCATGGAAATTAAAGTTCTGCACTTCCTTACCTGAGACCAGGAGCTCTAGGTGGTTATTGGGCACTGACCATGCCTGAGGGATGCTCAAATCATACCCATAGCATGTGAACCTCCACCTCTGGTTGGGTGTCACAGGACCCACTGTGAACAGGGCTCCAAATAGCTCACGGTGTATCTTCTGTGAGGGCAAAGGCCTGGAGAACTTCTCATCTTCCTTCATTAGAATAAACTTGTTATATGTCTGGTCTGAGACACACTGAAGGGTCATGTGCCCTTCTGTGGTCACTACAGGGTGGGAATGGCAGACAAGGTGACTTTGCTTGAGTAGAATCCTAGGAGAGAAGAGAAAGCCTTACATGAAAAGCATTTTTCTCCTTTCTCAAATTTGAGAGAGGAACTCGCAGTGATCATATTCTTTTCCTTAAGTCAGAATCCTGAAATGGTAAAGTCCTCTCACCTGTAACCACCAGCTCCAGGAAGTCACTTCTTTCTGACATATCATTATTGCTTTTATATTCACACTAATATTGGCCTGCATGGTATCATTCAACTGATGAGATGGAGATTGTGGCTTTGTTTTCAGTTTCTAAAAGGGTTGTTGGTATTGGGTAACCTGGACTTTCTTCTTTTTAGAGAACATATTCCTTGGCCTCTAAGGGCCCTTCACAGAAGAATGTCACCTGGTTCCCAATGGCTACCACATTTCTTGGCACTGCCCAGAGTGTAGGTTTAGAGAGGGCCCCTGAAAGAAAATTGACAGCTGCTTTCACAGAATTCTCCCTCAGAATTCTCAGACTTAGGAAATTTCAGGTATCCCCAGCATTACTCCACACCAACTGCCCTTCATCTTCCCTGTTCAGGAATTACATGTGGTCCCCACCAAGTATGTCCAATCTGGGACAGCTGAGAAGACACTCACCTGCCAATACTGGGTTCCTGAGGTCCAGATTCAGTCCTGCAAAAGAATTACCTGTGAGTTATTTACCTATGAGAGTTTGCACTGAACCATGAGCATGGCCTCCACTTCCTGGTGCATTCTAGAGCAGCTGAGACAACCTGATGGACCAATTCATGGTTGTGAGGTGGATTCCCTATCAGATGAGAATTCTCCCTCCCCATCTCACCAAGATAGAGTAGACCTGTAAAAAGGGGGGTCATGGCATCTTCCAGTTGCCACAAGTTTACAGAAGATCGGCCTCTTTTCCAAACATACACAGACACAAAACTTGTGGCCTGTGCAGACTGGGTTCTGCTTGTGATCATGAGGAAGCCCCTGAGGAAGAGGAACTGCTCTAACCAGGCACCTGACTCTTCTTTCCTGTGCTGTAATGGATTGACTTCCAGAATTTGGGGCTTCTGTCTCTTCCTGGTTTCTTCATGTTTGTTTCTGTTTCTGAGACAGAACCTTTTAAACCTCATGCAAGTCTCAGACTCCTCCTCCTTCTCCTTCAGCTTGCTGAGTGCTGGGATTACAAGTCTCATTGTGGTGTCTTCCTGCAGAACAACTTCAATGTAACACTCTACATCTGCCTGTATGCTCCCAGTCACCACAGACCAGGACTTAATGCAAAATAAACCTGGTGACTTCCTGAGTCAGGACCTTAACTTGATGGGCTCCGAGGCAGTTGGTCATTTTCTCTCCGAGCTTCTGCTTGGTTCTCCTTTACTTCTGCAGCTAGACAAAGCTCATCACCAGTTTTCTAGCTTTCTCAGAGATGCTTTGTGGATGTTCTCTGAACTTTACCTAGGGATACAAGCACAAATCCTACACACCCAAAATCAGACAACAGTCTCCATGGCAAGACAAGACTCCACACAAATCTACCTGATGAAGCAATGAGTTATATTAGGGTTCCCTGAAAGCCTGTCATCAATCTTGTTTTTTGGGGATATTTTGTTTTTGTTTGTTTGTTTGCTGAAACAGGGTCTAACTATGTAGCTCTGGCTGTCCTGGAACTCACTATGTAGTCTAGACTAGATCCAGCAACAGTCTCACATTCGACCATTGAGAACCCTGTGCTCCACTATGCTCATCAATATTGGAAACTTTTCAGTGTTTAGATTCATGAAAAAAAGCTTTGCCTACAACTTTTAACTGCCAATATTTCTGATGGAAGAGGAGTGGCCTTAGGAGCTTCTATACCATGAAGGAATATTCATGGGGCCAATCTTGTGCAGGTGACCTGTGTGTAATCACAGCTACAGAGACTCACAGGACAAGAGTACTGCCATGCCTGTAGAGCACTGTTCTACAACAAGGGGAGATGCAGGCTGATGCTGTTGGGATCAAACAGAACAGAAGGGACACAAGAGCACCTGATTCTTCAGATCTCCTGGATGAACACACGGAAGAAATCCATGGAAACAGAAAAGGAAATGTGTTATCCTCATGGCTCTGATTTGAGTTTATGCTAAATAATTCTTGATAGATTCATTCCCTTTTCTTTCCAACATACATGATTTCCATAGGAGCAACCTCTAAGCATTTTTTCTTCTTAGGTGTTCCTATTTTATTGTTCAGAATCCTTCGGGTGTTTGTGAAGGATGGATTTGAACTAAGACCTCCTCATATACAAATGTTCATTCCAACAATGTTGTTGGCATCTCATCTATGCGCCCGAGCACTATCCTTTTTGTCTAACATCAGCATCATTTTCACCACACTTTTGGGTTCAGGAGTGCTTGGGTCTCAGATGTTCAAGGAATGATTAACATTCACACTGTTTTATAATGTAGTTTGGATAAAAGAAGGTTTTGGTCATGTAAATGTTCTGGTTAAAGGACCTCTCTCTGCTCTCATGTTTTGCAGATGAATATACATTACATCTAAACAGTGAAGGTCATCAAAATTATAAGCTGAGAAGCAGAGCTGAAAACTTAAGTTCCCAAAATGCAGAAGGTTCTGTGTTCAAGAAAAGAGGCTATTGATACAGGGGGAAGGGGCTTAGACCTGCCTCAATTTGACATTGCAGAATTTTTGACTCCCCATGGGAAGTCTTACTCTCTATGAGGTGTGGATAGGGGTATGGATGAGCAGAAGGAGAGGATGAAGGGGAAACTGTGGTTGGAATGTAAAATGAAAAAAAATCTTTTAAATGAAAAAAATTAAAGATAATTTTGGCTAAGGGAAAAAAAGAAAAGAGGCTAACATTGTTCAGTTCCTGAACCTACCCTTCTTATGTATCATTGTAGGGAGACTTCCTCCTCCATGGAGGCTGAGGTAGGTTAAGGGTCTAAAAGAATATTGGTAGCTCTGTATGCTCTGTGCTCTATCTGCAGATGGGCACTGCAACAGCTCACATTACTGTCTGGTGCACACAGTGACAGTAAAATAGATTAATTCCTACTTTTATCCACAGCTATATTGTCTCATGTGTATTGTGGGATATTTATACACTGTGTGAAAAAGGTTTGCTGTGATTGGGGTAATAAAAAAGATGAATGCTAGGAAGGAGGTATAGCTGGGAGAACTGGGCAGAGAGAGGACTCTTGGAAGAGGAAAAGCAGAGTCACAGCCAGAAAATAGACAAAGGGAGGTGTAGCAGGAATCTTAGCAGTAATTATTAATAAAATAAAAGCTGAGGCCAGTTATTTTTAGGGTGAATACTGGAAGATCGGAGAACCAGAACAAGCCACAGCTACCTCACCTCACCGGATTCTCAGCTGGTCCTGTTTCCTCAGACTGGATGCCTCTGAGTCCTCATCCAGAATGGCTCTCAGATGAACTGCTGCTAAAAGCCTGAAAGCTTAACCAGTCAAATGCTTAACCAGGTCAAATGCTTCTAGTTCCTGGCCCTCATGCCTTATATATCTTTCTGCATTCTACCATCACTCCTGGGGATTAAAGACACGCTTTCTGGGATTAAAGGCATGAGTCACCATGCTTGGTTGTATACTTGAACACATGGATTTCTGTCTAGCTCTGCCTCCCAGATGGATAAGTCATGAAAGGGAACTGCTTACTTGCTTGCTTTCTCTGGCATGCTCAGCTCAGCTTCTAATAGAACCCAGGACCAGCAGCCCTGGAATGTCACAACCCACCATGGTGTCCTTCCCCCATTGATCACTAATTGAAAAAAATGCCTTGCAGCTGAATCTCATGGAGGATTTCCTCAGTTGAAGCTTGTTCATCTAATGACTCTAACATGTATCAAATTGACAAAATATACCCACCTATATATGTGACCGCTTGTAAATAGACACACAAATATATCAATATTAAGCCACATCCTATCCTTTCTTATTCATCACCAACATCTTAAATAACATTAAAAGTCTCACAAACTTTACAAATTCAATACTTAAAATTTCTTCCCTTAAAAAAAACCAATCTCTTTAAATCCAAAGTCTTTTTAAATTAAAAGTCTCTCAAGTATGGGCTCCAGTATATAACTTCAATAGGGAGGAATCAGGACACAGTCTTGATCAAATCAAGGCAAAATGAAAATTGAGCTCCATTCACATCGTTCTATAATCTCCAAACGGCTGGGGTCATTCCTCTGGCTATGACCTCTACAGAACACACAGCTCATTTTCTAGGCTCTGACTGGCTCCTCTCCACAACTACTGTTGTTTTTGGTGGCCATTCCCCTGCACTGGCACCTCCAAGCCATGGGGCTTCTCTGCTGCAACTGGGCTGCACTTTCACCAAAATCCTCTCATAGGCTCTCATCATCAGGCCAAGCCTCCAATTCTTTGCAAGACCCCTTCAGTCCTAAGCCTTCAAATGCCATTAAAGGTGCACCATAACCAATGGCCTCTGCTTTCCTCTCACAGTGTCAATTCTCTCCTGATCTTCATGACACCTTCATGCCTTAAAAACCAGTACCACCTGGGTCACTCATACACATTACCAAGTCTGGCTGCCTCATCATGAACAACCTTGGCTGCCTCTAGAACACAGCTTCTCTGTGATCTTAAGAAATACTTCCAGGCAGATTTCACCTCAGTGATGCTGGTCTCTTCTTAATCTCTGCTAGTATCTTACCTCCAGCTGACCAGCTTCAATTTTCCCAGTACCATAAAGGTTTTACTTCAGTAATTCTGGTATTTGGTTAATCACCACTGATTCTTCAGCTCTAGCTAAACCCAACAACAGGATTGCTTTAGGAGTCCTGGTATCTTGTTGATATCAGTTGATTTTTCAGCTTCAGCTAAACAGAACAACATGTTCTTAATTCAAAAATGGAAAATAGCCCTCAATTTCTTTAAACTTCCCTCTGATATTTTACAAGCCAGTCAGGCCTGCATCTTCTGCACTTCTCTCAATATTCTTATCTTCCAAGTTCCCACAATATATCTCACTGTGGTCTCTCAACACTCAATAGCTCTTCTAGTGCAAAGTTCCAATGTCCTTCCACAATCCTCCCAAAAACATGGTCAGGTCTATCACAGCAATACCCCACTACACTGGTTTTATTTGGTCTTAGTTAGGATTTCTATTGCTGTGACAAAACACCATGAACAAAAGACAAGTTGGCAAGGAACAGGTTTATTTGGTTTACTCTTCAGAATTGCTGTTCATTACTAAAGGAAGTTGGGATAGGTACTCAAACAGAACAGGCTCCTGGAGGCAGGAGCTGATGCAGAGGCCATGGAGGGTGGTGCTTCCTGACTTGATACCCATGGCTTGCTCTGCCCACCTTATATTGACCCCTGGACCAGCAGCCCAGTGAAGGCACAAACTACCATGGGCTGTGTCTTCCCCCTTCATCACTAATTGAGAAAATGACTTACAGTTGGATATCATGAAGGCATTCCCTCAACTGAGGTTCCTTCCTCTGATGACTCTAACTTGTGTCAATTTGACACATAAAATCAGGGGACACACAGGAAAATGAAGATGGAAACATGGTATTCTCATGGTTCTGTGTTTGATACTATTCTGCTAAAAAAAATCTCCTATAGATTCATTGGCTTTTCTTATGGACATACATGAATTTTATAGGTACATCATCACAGCATTCTCACCACTTCGGTATTCCTAGTTCATTGTTCAGAATCTTTCTGGATTTTGTGAAGGTTGATTTTGATTGAATGCTTGTTAATAAACAAGTGTCCATTCCAACTTAAATGTTTGCATCTCAACTATGAGCTACAGCATCATGCTGACTGTCTAATATCAGTGTCATTTTCACCACATTTATGGGTTCAGGATGGCATGTGACTTGGAGGAGCAAGGACTGGTTAACTTTCAGAGTGTTTTCCAATGTACTTGGAAACAAAGGGATTTTGGTTATGTACATGTTATGGTTAAAGGGGCCA